TTGACAGTGTTAGGGAAGTACGAGGCACCTTGCAATTGGTCGAACAAATCATTGATTCGGGGAAGAGAGTATCATTGATTGATCGTCAACTTATTCAGTTCTTTATATTCGACGTACATTCGATCCATCCATCTTTCTCTTTAACGGATAGTGCCAGTGCATCCCATCATGAATAATTTAGACGAATGAACCCTTTTTCGAGGGGTTTCTGGAGTTGACCAGACAACTCTTGTATTTCGGAAGGGTGCCAAACGGTACGACGCTTTAGTTATAGGTGTTGCCCCATAAATTAAGTCAATTCTGAACTCAAACTTTCTAGGCATGGAAAGCTTAGGCAATTCCTTTGGAATTACTTTTGGGTCGAAGGCGAGACATCTAACATGTTGGTTTTTCAGTCTAAATGTTGGATATCAAAATGTTGGAAAAATAGTTCTCTAGATTGGTTGAGGAGAAGGACCTAAGGATTGCTATGAAAATATTAGGAATGGGCATAGAGGGAAATATAGTTGATGTTATTCTAAAACTTGCTCGAAAGAAGTAGGTCCGAAAATTCCTAAGAAGTTCTTATACATAGGATCAAGCCCAGACATACGCATTTGTGAAGCCACTTAAGACTTTCAAAGCATCAATCTCTAAAGAGAGAGAACGACCTAGAAGGAGTGGCCAAGGCCTTTTTCATATTATTAGTCAGCAGCATAACGTATACGACAATGTGCACTAGACCAAATGTTCCCCGTACATTGGGAGTAGCGAGTCACTTTATAATCCATGGAGTTAACATTGGGATGGTGTTGATTAGCTTCCATGGTACATGAAGGGTATTTCTAAGGTTGCTTAGAGTAATAGATCATAGTGGCCACACATGCTCCAAATGTGGTCATATAGGTGTTAAGCAAGGTTCAGATACGTCCCCGAAATGGGATAAGAATAATATGTCGTGGTGGTACCTTCCATCGTGAAGTAGTTCTCTATAACGATGTTCGAGAGGTAATATCCCATCCATGTATCGAATGATTTTTTAATGGGTTAGTTGCCCTCCATATTAAACTTTTGTAACTAGGGATAAAAATGAAAAGGATTCGAACTTAGGGATTGAGTTAAAATCTCAGGGAGTATCTAATATTATAAGTACTTATACGTATGCTACTAGTACACTACAAGGTAACAAGAGTGAAGTCTATAGCATCGTACAAGGACTAGCGATATAACCTGGTCCGCAATCAGGTATGTGGAATATGACGATGAATATGTCGACCTAAGGAGACTCTGACACAACTGACTATCACGTAGGTCTCCTAGGTAGGTTCCAAACTACTAACCTCCTGTCCAGGCTTCGATCCCATATAGGGGTCCTTTTCTAGCTCAGTACTAGATTAGTTAATTAATTCACATCCGATAATGTATCCTCATGTGTCGCCCGATTCGGGAGCACAAGACATGGAGTTCAACCACCTAAATTGTACATAAGGAAGTCTAGAGTTAAGAAGCATTTTTGCAGCCTAATGTAACTTGGTAGCCATGTACGCCTAAGGGTTTCTATTTCTGTTTAGTGTCTAAGTAGATCCTAGGTTGTTCATACCACTCACTATAACCAATTTCGATGTTGCACTTGCTCTTCCTTAATTATACATTAATGATCAGGCTATGTATAATTCAGGTCCAGTAGTGCACTACCCGATTTACTTATACTAGATGGCATGATTATAAACTCGTTGGTTATAGTTTAGGCTTTCCCAAGGGAAAGGGAAAACCGGTATTCGCTATAACCTTTGACTCTGATACCAAATCTATCACACCCCGTTAAAAGCAAAAACACGAAGGGTGACAAGATAAGGTCTCATAACACAAGGTAAATAGGATTACCAACCATAATCATTGAGCATTTTTAAGTCTACATCATATTCGAAACAATATTACATTTAGTTCTATACTACATAGTCTAGTACATAACAAGAGCAATAAACATAAATCATTGTGGCGTCTTAAACTAGCTCACTAACCGTTTCCTAAAAAGCATGCAAAAACGAGGGTCAACTATACAATAGTTGGTGAGTTCACAGGTTTATAAAGGTATATCATTTCAATAAGAAAATATAGATTTGTTCAACAAAAGTTCCAACTCAAAGTGAGTGTTGAATACCAAAGCAATTCGTTTACAACCATACGTAATGATCGTTCTTGCCCCATTCCATCATGTCAATGGTTCCCATGATGCCAGTTCACATAAATATGCACTCAAGGTTCACGACGAGTGGGGGCCGTCTACCCCAAATAGCGCTATCCATAAGACCGTCAACTCGATTACGAGTGAATAGGTTGTATCGGTTCTTCGGTGACTTAACATACAAAGTTCATAACATAGAGTTCATATCACCAAGTTCATATCAACAGTTCAATAACAATATCGTTCCAAGTTCAATGAGTTCATAAAAAAACCTCAATAAGTTCATAAAACAATGTTTAGCAAGTTCCCAAAATAGAGTTCATCAACTTCGTAAAACAAAGTTCCACAAGTTCATAAAATTGTATGGATAGTTCATAAGATAATAACATGGTTTCCACCCCAAAACATGAAAAAAGTAAAAAGGGGTTGTGAATATTCACAAAGGAAAGTTCGCGGTTCATGTGTCGCAGTTTAAGGTTGTCGGGTTCGATCCCTACTAGCGTCCTACGGAACAATAAGTTTCTTGTAAGTCCTTGATTACTAGCCATAATCTAGTAACTACTTATCCAACTAGTGATGTTACAAAGTGTACAAAGTTCGTTCGGTTCATTATCAGTAAATATTGGATTTGCGGTGCCTTGTGTTCAAAAATCCAAAAATGCATGAAGATGAACTCCAAAAATTAAAAAAATATATTTTCTGGTTCTAACAGAGGGTATGGTTGTTCATAATTTTTATAGTAGGTTTTGAAGGTCAATTGATATTTATTTGTAATTTAAGCCTAAATAATATGAAAAATTAGAAGTAAATAGTAAACAGTAGTAAAAATTCCCAAATTAATTTGTACATGTTCTAATAATGTTTCCAAAGTTGGGAAAAATATTGGTTTGTGAATTTGAGTATGAAGATCCAGTTTTGTAAATTCATGCTTTAATTTTTAATAAAATACCAAACAGTGACCAAATTGTATGAAAACTAAGGTCCCATCCTTATTTCGTGCATAAATCAATTCTATAATTTTTCAGATTTTTATCTCATTTGTAAGTATTTATTTTGAATTTTTGGCCATTAAATCCTTATTTTTGTAGAAAAATAAAGAATTTGTTCTAGCACTTGGGGTTTTACAGAACATCCCTTGAAAACATGAACTTACATAAAACAATTTAGCTAAAAATTATTTCGGAGCTAAATGGGGGTGTTCAACCCCAACTAGTTATGAAATGTAGCACTAGCAAATGTATGAGTTCCAAATTAGTCTAATACTCTAACTCCATTTCACAACATAATATAGTTCAATACATACCGATGGAAGGCGAACGGGCAACAAGCTGCGCCGCTAACCCTTTCTGGATGGCAAAACTAATCCTTTTGAAAACAACATTTGTGGATCTAGGAGATATGACATTGGAGTGCATGAACCGTTGGACTCTGTTGAGGAGCTCCACCGCCTCTGGTGCGAGAAAACCAAATGTGTCAAATGCAAAAGGCACAAACACATGTTGATTTTCTATACATGCATTCTCGTGCTTTGCCACTTTGCACGCAGCAACTTTCAAAGGGACATGCCCTGCTGTGAAACCCCTGTCCTCAAAACGAAGAGAGGAGAGACCCTAGTAAGATCCACACACACGTGCTTCCCTCTTACCCATCCAAAGACCAAAAATGTCATCCGGTCTAAGTGTGGATCTCCCATCCTGCGGGTCCGTCAAGAAGTTCACTGGTACTTCTTTCTTCGCAGAAATACCAGCACGCCGAAAAGCATCAAAGAGAACATCCCTAACCACATCATGTATGTACTTGAAACCAGGGAGCTCTCTACAATGAACTGCATGTTCCTCAAATGTATCCAAACACGCATTGCGGAAAACTGGGCATATCTCCTCAATTGGGAATAGAGGAATCATGAGGCGGTAGCGAATGATAGTTCGGTACTCCACAGCATACATATGTTGGCCAAGGCCATCAATGGGGATAGTTAGCAGAAAATCCTTAGCATGAGGTGCCCGAAGACACTCAAAAACTGCTTTCTGTCTAACAGTCATGTCGAAGTCGACTTCCATATCTTTGATGAATTTGCTAAAAAGGGCACACGCCAATGCTTTTTGGGATTTAGGGGAGGCGGTGTCCTTATTAGTGAAACCGCTACAGTCGAAACCTCTATAACATTTTAGTTCATGAAATTTTAGGTATTATGAGATAAATGTGTCAAGTTCCTAAAATAATTTTCTACAGATCTATTGGGGGGTTTAAGGGCCTGGATCTTGTAATGCAAAACTAATGGTCACAGAAAAGTGCTTTTGAGCTACTGTTTTGTAAAAATCGTCAAAAATCGAATTCTTAACGTTTTATAATGAGACGACTTGGGTTCGAAGCTAACTCAGAGAACTACGTCTCAGAAAAAAAATATAGTGATTTGGTTGAGTAATGAGTGAGATATGACTGTTCAAAGTCGAATAAATAATTATGGCAGAATGCATGTTACCTTTGGTTTGATTAGAGTGCCCCTTATGGTCATATTTTCTCAAGGACAACATGCATACCCCTTCATGGTCGAAAATGAATAACCATAAACTAGAGTTTATAAAAGAACAATGACTTTTATGTGGAAGAATCCAATCCATAGATTTAGGTTTATCCAAGAAACAAAAAATGTGTGTTTCGTTCTTGTTATAAAGAACTCCTTGGAGCTGAATCTTGCACTAGGATTTGCATCACAAATCCGATTTCTATCACAAGCATGGAGTGAAAACACATCCAAAAGGTACTAGAAATTAGAGGTGTTCGCGGTACAGTTTGAAACCGTGAAACCGGCCAAATCGGTCATCGGTTTGGTTTTATGGTTTGTATTTTTCTTTACGGTTTGGCTTGTGGTTTCAAACTTTTCAAACCGTAGTGAACGGTTTGGCTTACGGTTTTTAAGATTTCAAACCATATAAAAACCGGACCGGACCATAAGATTTTTATATATGTATTATTTAATTTTTTTATATATAATTGTATTTTATCGTATTATATATATTAATTCTTATATACAAATAATAAAATTTAAAAACACATTTAATTAGCCCATATATACTCTAGTGTAAAACTGTAAATGAAGCCCAACAAAGTCCACTTCTCCAAGTCCAACTAAAGCAATCGTTTGATACTTTGATTCATTTCCACTTTCCACTTGCCCTAAGCCTAATAGCAAATACTCAAAATTGCAAAGCAGAGTCAGGTCTCGACTGTGGTTGTTCTGCAGCCTCCATCTCCGACAGCTTATCGTTTCCAGCTCCGACAGCTTATCGTTTCTAACTCCGAACTCGACATCAACAACAAATTCGACATCAACTTATCGTTTCCAACTTCCAAATATAGCTAAGCTCCACTTCCAGCTCTGTTTCTTTCCGGTTTAATCTCTTTGCAGGTTCGATCCCACATCATGTTTTGATTTCTTTAATAGCTTAACACATGATTTTTTTTACAGGTTTAATCCCACCTCATGTTCCGATTTCCGGTTTAATCTCTTTACAGGTTCGATCCCACCTCATGTTTTGATTTCTTTAACAGCTTAACACACGATTTTTTTTACAGGTTTAATCCCACCTCATGTTCTGATTTCCGGTTTAATCTCTTTGTGTTTATGATATGTAGGCAGTGCTGAACACAAATAGGTCCAGAAATTGATTCATACATAATTACAGATCCTCGTCGGATTTTTTAGACCAAGTTAGTAAAATGTATATTTATTTGCAACATTCATGTTTATGCAAATAAAGCTAAATGATGCTTTTTATGGTATCGTAGAGAACTTCATGATGCAATAACAGAAGAAGGTACATTTGTGGTGTTATTGTAGCAGAATGATACATGTTTTTTCATCATTTATTTACATTACAGTAATTAATCATATTAAGATTGGTTCCACCAATATTTGATACTGTGTATGGATATTTATGTGCTCCTTTTTAGTTTGCAGAAGTTGAAGGGTTGAAAGGGAAATTGTCAAGCAAACTTGCTGCTAATTCGCCTAATATTCAGCCTAATTGGCAGGTTTGCTTGTTCTACTTCTTATCAGGTCTGCATGTTGGTAATGAAGAAATTGTTGTATAATAATAACTATAATTTTATTATGGAAGTTTTAGTATTGGTTTGATGTGACACTTGCGGGAGTTTGGTTTGTTCGAATCCAGCAGAATTGGAATTCAACTTCATTCCATAGTTGTTCGGATGAAAACTTTTGCTGGAATGGTATCATTTAGGTTTGATTTGTTACTGATATGTTATAGATTTGTAATCTACGTTTGATATTTGGTATGTTTATTTCATTTGTTGAAGGTAGCTCATTTTCCAAGATCTATTATACTTTTTTTGCTATTTTTCTAAAGATTTTAATTTTGGTTTTAATCCAGGAATACATGACTATAATTTTTAGATCAGTTTGCTTTTTAAGAATCATTATGTAAATATGTTCTTTTTTTAGATCCGATTTTAAAGATTTTAGATATGGTTGTAATGTAAAAAAAAAATTACATAAAACGTTGCTGTTTTTTTTTTAATATTGGTTTAATATTGCTGTTTTTTAACAATATTTGATAGAATTTTTGCTGTTTTAATAGGTTAAATAGTGTAGTTTTTCTTTTTACTAAATTAGTTTAATGGACTCTACTAAAATGGGCCTAAAAAGCCCAAACCATGAAACCAAACCGAAGCCGACGTTAGTAATGGTTTGGTTTGGTTCGGTTTTAAATTTTCAATGGTTCGGCTTCGGTTTTTGCTTGACAAAAACCGTTACTAACATTTTGGCTTCGGTTTGACCTAAAAACCGAAAAAACCGGACCGTGAACACCCCTACTAGAAATGGTTTTGAAATAAGAAAAACTCAAAGCAAAACAAGATGAAGGAGTAGAAGTCGATTTGCTTTTTGAAGTTTTGAGACCATGGATGCTTCCTTTTGATCTTAGCTTTGGTTTGATCCCAGATTTTCACTATATTTAACACATGCAATGCGTTTTGGTGAAGATATACAAACACTAAGTGGGAAGGAAAGATTCTAGCCATGGGAGGGGCATAGAATCCGAAAATATGAGAAAACATGCTAGAACTTGCATCAAAATGAAGAGATTGATGGAGATAGTGAAGTCTCATACCTTGACATTAATTTTGAGGTATCAAAAACACCCAAATATCTCATTATTTTTTTTGTGTTGAAGGCTGATTTTTGGTAGAAAGAGTTGAGAGAAGTAGATAGTGTTTTTATAGAAAAGAAAGAGATAAAGTGAATTTCTGTCTCTCTGGATAGACCATCTCTCCCTCTTCGTCTCTTTGGGGCTATACTCCACCAAAATCGGCCACAAAACTCCATATATGTGATCTAACATGTGAAAAATGAAATGGCAAAATCTCTCCCAAAGAAGTTTCTTATAAGAACAGGTTTACTCTCTCAAAGGGACATGCAAAATCTGACCTCGGGATTTTGCATCATAGGAGCAAGGAATAAAGAGTAAGAGAGAGAAAAAGAGAGAGGGAACCTATGAACGAATTTTGGGAGAAGAGAAGGGATTAAAGAGGATTTGAAAGTCTCATTTTGAATAAATATGGCCTCTTAATCATTTTTATAAAAATCATCTTTAGTTTTTATAAATATCCCATGTATTTTTATAAACTTCCAAGAGTTTATTTCTTGTTTTTTTTATTCAAGCATTTTGTTTTTAGAAATAAGTTCATAAACTTGTATTCTCTTGAATTAAATTATAAAAATGATAACTTATGGTTTGATTTTTATATAATCAAATTTTATATTTCAAATAAATGAAACAAGGGTTCTCATATGAATGTAGGATGAGACAATCATTGGATTATATTTTTGGTTCATAATTCAAATTATTATATGTGGATATTATTTCCCACTTGTAATTAAATCATATTATGATTTAATTAATTTGAGTTGATAAGTACTTAAACTAGTTAAGCACTTCATAAGTTTTGATTAAGAAGTTAGGGTATTTTACTTACCCGAGAGCTTTAATCTTCCGAACATGGTTTTGTGTTTAGTTTTAACATTGAGCTTTGACACTTTATAACCTAGTTAGTGTATTCATATATTAATGTGACTGCTTTTCACAGTTAAGTTAAACTAATTATTCAGAGGGATCTATTAAGTCGCGACCAAGTTCATCTTGTGGTATCTAGAACTAAGTTATGTTCACTCATAAAGATGGTGAGCTTCAAGTTGAGTACTATCCTGAGTTTTGACAGATGTCACACATAGTATTAATGAAATTCTCATAAGAATTTGGCAGTAAATATATGAGGATAGGTTCTTGATCTTGATCTTCAATCTTTACATTTACACCTTGTAAATACAAGATGATCCTCTCGAAGTTATCCAGATGATCCTTCACTTTGGTGATTTCTGACATCCAAAGAGTATATAAACGTTGCTTCTGGTAAAGCGTGTTTGTCAAAGACTTGTTCTGATACTTGTCAGTTGTCACACAAATTTTCCCAAAGCCCAATAGAAATTATTTGATCCACGACCAATCTTAGTACTTCTGTCAAACTCAACATAATTGTGTTATGCCCTCTTGCTAGAGTATCCACCTTCTTTTCAGCCGTGATGTTCTTTGGAAATTTCGATTCCCTTTCCAGTGCCACTACAAATCCTTGTTGAAACAGAAGAGTCTTCATCTGCAACTTCCACAAATTGAAATCATTCAAACCATTGAACTTCTCTAAATGGAATGTGTGATATGTCATATTTAATCTATAAAAAACCAGCTGCACCTTTGATACCACTTGTTCGGAAAACCAGATGACACTTGTCAAGAATCAGAACATATCTGATGCCACTTGCCTAACTCTCATAACCCTAATTATTAAGTAATGTAGATAACACACAAAACCAAAGCACACAAAGACACTGTATTTACGTGGTTCAGTTAAGGTGACCTACGTCTATAGGAAGGAGGGGAGTAGTATTTAATTATGAGTTTTCAAAACGAGGTCATAAGTACACTTCAACAGAGATTCACCCTACTTACTAAGGATACAAAAAACACCAACAAATGACTAGCCAACTGTTGGATTAGGTGTCTAAGCCAATAACTATAATTGGTATATACTTGAATTGATAGTAGCATAGTCCTTTTGGGTTGCCTTCAAACCTGTTAATTGAATAGGATGTCTGTTAGAGAGAGGAAAATGATTTATTAATTTATTACTTGGTTAATAAAGTAATTAGAAATAAAAATAAATGATTTATTAATATATTATTGAAATAATATATAAATTAGAAATCATATTGTTTAATTAATATTTAATCAGAAATTAATTTGGAATTAATTTTGGGGTTAAAGGAATTAATTAAAATTGCACGGACTAAAGGAGACAATGTTCAATAGTTGAGCATTGGACAATTCTAGAACCTCCCTAATGAGGGGGGACCGAAATCTAGAGCATCTCTAGGGTTTCCTTGGGCTCTAAGGGTGCCTTGGATGATTTAGTGAAGAAGTTAAGACATTAGAGTTATCTTGGATACACCTTCCTTATCCAATACCTTCCTAACACCTATATAAGCCCTCCTTAGGGTTAAATTTCAGTTATGACTCCTCTAAGAGCCTAAAGGCCGAAATTTCTCTTCTATTACTCTCTCTTTATAGTTTTTCCTTGGTTGCTTGAGTTTGTTTGTGAACCATTAGAGGCGCGACACTTGTGGCGCTTGCTACCAAAGGTTTTTCAAGCAATGATTCAAGATTGTTTATAATAACAATCTAAAAGGTATGTATCATAACCCTTCTTATGTGATTTTCGATTATTATCCATAGATCTACGGTTTATACTTCGTTGTGCATTATTTTATGTTAAATTAGAGAAAACGTAGATCTTCAATTAGGGTTGCATGCACAATAGGATTATATGTTGTGCTTAAAACCCATCAGTGGTATCAGATCCTAGGTTTAGTTTTCTATTGAGTTGATACTAATATGAACTTGAAGAAGGAGGAGAAAACAGAATCGTCATTATGTTCTTCGAACTCGTCGAGTTGTTCTTCAAACTCGACGTGTTGGACTGCAACACGACGTGTTGGTCCTCCAACTCGGCGTGCTTGCATGTTAGATCCTGATTTCGGATTTTCTTGCCTAACTTGATTTATTTGGTTAATATTTGGTAATTACCTTTTATTAAATCTGCCATAATCCAATTTTTGGTAATATTAGATAATTAAATAAGACCTAAATGTTAGGAGATAATTATGAATTGGATAATGTTGATTTTATTTAATTATAATTATCCTTATGGATATGATTAATAATTTAATTAATTGTTTAATTAAAGGATAATTAATATATCCATAATTAGCTACTAAATAGTTAATTTTTTTATTAATTGGACTTAAGAATTAAATTTATTTTTAGGGTTATTTGAGATTTAAATTAAAAGTTTAATTTAAAATGTAAACCCTAAATTATATCATTATGGATCTTATTATTAATTTAAATAATTGATTAATTAAAGGATAATTTATAAATTGGTAATTGGTAAAATTAAGTTACCCTTGCTATTTTAAATGTTTTAAAATGCACCTTATATATATATATATATATATATATATATATATATATATATATATATATATATATATATATATATATTATAAAATTAAATGTTCAATATTATATATGTAAAATAAAAGTCGGCCTTACCGTTAGTAGGCCTCATTCACGAAACTGGTCTATGAGGGGGGTATAAGGAAATTATCTATAAAATGGCGATTGAATGAGTGTCCACTCTCACCCACCGCTTCCTTGACTAGTGGAAGGTCGTTAGCCGAACGGGTTTGATAGGACAACATAATTCTCATTAATAAGTATAATGAATTATAAAGTAACTAAATCAATTTTCTAAAAATCCCACTCTTAGTTAATTTAGGAAAAATGTGAATTTGATTCTAACCCATGAAATTGCACATTGAACCTTATTGGTCGTTAGTGGAGCGTGTGTGGTTAAACGGCACACTAATATGGGAATAATGTTGTTGGCAATGGGTGTCTCGTAAATTATCATTGAATTAATGGAGTGCGTGTGGTTAACCGACATGTTAATTTCACCTGATAAATGACATCGAGAGTACCAAGCTAATTTGCATGGTTATTCACATCTCGTTTGTGATCCTCGGCATCCCAATCAGAAAGTGAGAACTTAATCGAGATTAAATATGCAATTGAATAGTTCAATGAATCTCAAAAGATCTAGGAGTTTC